TCCATAATCAAAATGTGTCCAACAAAATCCCCCAAATCTTTATCTCAGAACTCATGGCCATGACAGATAAAGATGATAAATGCAGGGCAGTGGATGGCTCAACAGAATAAAATTGTTGAACCCATAATACAAAATGTATTAGATGTTTACTTTGACTAGTTTGGCTCGTATCCCATTCACCAACACAGACAAGGAAGGAGATATTTGTTTTCAATGCACAAACACATGCATACACTCACTAAAACACTGACATGCAATTTTTGTTCAATAAAAAGTAAAAGGTTTACTGAGAAATGTATCACTCCAACAAACAAATAGAGTTGTAATAGTTTGTTGTTTCAAATATTTTTATCGTGAAGCAGACAGTATATCAAAAATACATCGATCTCTGGTTTATGCAATGCTTGTCACAGTCAGTCAACCATCCTCCCACTTCTCAGTCAATCTCCCATCCTTCCACCTCTCAGTACTTTTCCATGGACTCCGCCTCTGCTTCATCTGCCAGCCAAGCCACACCCTCTCACCAATCCAACACAGGTGCTCCTCATCACCTGCAATCAGCCCAGTATATATTCACCAGCTCCACTCTCAGTCAGTTGCCAGATTGTTCTACGCCTTCATGCAAGACTTTCCAGCAGTTATCTCCGGACTGATTCTTTGTTGCCGACCCTGCCTGTCCCTGACTAACCTGCCTCGTCCGAAACCTGGTAATCACCTCTGCCTTCCGTCCCTGACCAAGTCTTCTGCCTGTTGCTGTCTGTATTGCCTGCCACCTGATCGGCTGAGAGCTGAGAATAAAGACTGTTACCAACTGTCCATGCTTGTTGTGCTGCATTTAGGTTCAAACCATACCCATTACAATCCTTCATTATTTTGTAATATAAGTAACAAAGGTGTCCTACAAATAAGTAAATAAATGAAAAACAATAAATGGGAGAAAAATTTGAAAAATATACAAAAATACGTAAATAAATACATTTATTAAAATAAAATAAATAAATAATAACTCCCTCCCTGACCCACCCCGTCCCGCCCACACAGTACTACTCAAGTTGTCCTACACCCTGTTTCAAGAAAGAAATAATTGGAGATCATAGGATAAAAGGTGGCGCTGCATATTCTGTAGGTTCCCAGTACTCCCTGATGTCCCTAGTATAACCAAGAGTGGGTCTGGTCGTAACATAGTCTTGAAGACCTTTGAGAAAAATGAAAACACTGTTGTCCAGAATTTTTTTTTTGTTTGGGTCATAGTGTGTAACTGTGAAGTAGATTTGCCTCCGCTTGGTTTCATTTTTCACAGATATGATATTTCTGGGAATATTCTATGTAATTTTACTCTTGAGTAATGCAGCCTATGCAGCATTTTAAACTGGTTCAGGCGGTGTCTAGCATTCAGGGAGCAAGTGTTGATATATCTCAGGCTTTCCTTCCATATATCCTCCGCTATCCCCAAACCCAATTCTTTTTCCCAGCCTTCCTTTATGTATTGCGTGTTTACCTGGTCTAGCTCCTGAAATGAATCGTATAAAACTGAAACTGCATTCCTCTCCATCGTGCAATCTCTGAGACACCTGTCTAGCTTGTCGGGGTTGGAGTTTTCAAAATGGTTCAGATGTGTCCTTACAAAATGTCTGACTTGGAGATATCTAAAAAATTAACTTTTTGACAGACCATATTTCTCTTGTAGTTATTGAAATGACACGAATGAACCACTAACATACAGATCACCCACACTGCGCAGTCCAAGTTCTTTTCATCTACCTAAGCCTCCATCTACAATATAAGGGGTGAATGATGGATTTGCTGATATTGGGAGTGTAAAGGATAGCTTCCTAAGTTTGAGTTGTTTTGATATTTGACTCCAGATTTGAAAAGTGCTGTGTATAATTGGGTTGTAGCTAAAGTATGATTTTTTAGGGTGGGTGGGAGACATCACAATAGTACCGATCGCATAGGGAAAACAATTCTTTCGCTCCATGTCCAGCCAACTGTCTCATTAAGCCAGTGGGAGATGCTGCCCAATGATACCGGACAAAATCTGGGAGGGCCAGCCCACCATTTGTTTTACTTTTACATAGATGCCCTTTTCTGATCCTATGTGTTTTGTAATTCCAAATAAATGAAAGAATCATAGAATATATTTTTTTAAAGTAGGTTTTACTAAGGAAGATGGGTACGTTTTGAAAGAGGTAACTGAGGGAGACAGACCATTTTGACTGCATTCACTCTACCGATCAAGGAAGTAGGGAGGGTTTTCCAGAACTCCAGTTTGTTTTTAAACTTATTTAATATAGCCACATAATTAGCCTCAAATAATGTATTATATTACTTTGTAATTTCTAACCCCAAGTATATGAATTTCTCCCATGCCAATCTGAATGGGGTTTGTTCTAGTGCACCTGGATCACTGCATCGCACTGGCATCAGCTCACTTTTTGTCCAGTTCACTCTGTATCCAGAGAATGAGCTGAATTAATCAATCGTCTCTAATAAAACAGGTATTGAAGTTTTTGGCTCTGTAATAAAGGTCAAAGTGTCATCCGCATATAGCGATATTTTATTTGTGGTGTAATCTGTGTCATAACCATGAATCTCTTTATTTGTTCGAATGGTCGCCACTAATGGCTCCAGTGCTAGTGCAAACAACAAGGGGCTAAGAGGACACCCCTGTCTAGTGCCTCTATATAGGTTAATTGTCTCTGACATTGTCTGATCTTTCTGGCTGGGGTGAAGTCAGCTCGGCATCTTGCAACTTCGGGTGGCAGGTCTCTGAAGATCTGTATCCGCTGGCCCTGGTACATTAGATCTCTGATGGACATCACCTTCTGCATTATATCTTCATAAGCTTGGCAGTAATGCAGCCTTGCAATAAAGTGCCGAGGGGGTTCATCATTGCCAGATCGTTTCCTCAGAGCTCTATGGGCTTGGTCTATAACTGGTGCCTCTGTGAGGTTTGACACTTCTTTTAACAGCTGAGCTACAAACTCTCGGTTTTGGGCCATTTTCATTCCCCTCTTTAATTCCGTCCACTCTCAGATTCTGTCGTTTCGAACTGCCTTCTAGATCAAGGCCTTTTTTTTTGAAAGTGCTTCAACTTGCCCAGAGAGTCTCCTAACTTTGTCTTTCAACTCTTGTATTGTGTCTGAAGTGTCGTTAGCAGCATCGACTAGCACCTTCAAAGCTTGGTTTTGTGCACCCATTTGGGTATTAAGCGCCGATATTGTTGTGTCACTTTCGGTTCTCAGCGTACTTATCTCCCCTCTCAAGGTGGTAGTTACCTCTGAAATCTCCGCCTCAATCTTGTTACAGATGTCTGACTTCACACGTGCTAGCTCTGCGTGGGAGTGACGTTATGGCCTTAAGCACATCGTTGCTATCCGCGTGCTGGGCACTCTCGCCGGCTCTCGTCTCCACAGCCGAGCCCGAGGCTTCATGCAGGCCTGTCTCCTCATCCAGGTCATGTTTTGCATTAGTTTTTCTCTGCATTTTTGACGTAGCCGTTCTCGTATAAAGTTCTCAAACTGTTACTGGGTAAATTTCCCAAAGTTTCAATCGTATGGCTTTGTTGACATGGAGTTTTAAAATCTGCGAGAGCCACTGAAGAGTGCATCCTACTCGCTCATCGCTCGACAGAGTTGTAATAGTTTAATTTATTTGGTTCACAGTCTGCAGGAAATGTGTTTTACATAACAACAGTGCATGGTTAAGTTAATAACTCATTGCTATGGAGAAGCTAAAACTACAGCTAAATGGTCTACTCAATGGTCTACTCAAAGCATTGTCATTCACCTATTCAACACAGACATTTGTGCTGTGCATCTATGTACAGCACTTTCTCTATCATATATCTCTCTCACACTGCTGCCACTAGTGAACTGAACTGCCGGATTCAGTATCTTGCCCAAGGACACTTCGGCATGTTGGGAGACTGGGATGTAACAGCCGACCCTCTGGATAGTGGACGACCCGTTCAGCCTACCTGTCTGATGTCTGTCTGTAGAGTAATTATTTACTTAATCTATTTACTATATGAAACTACTGTAAAGTGCTTTGAGTGGTCATCAGGACTAGAAAAGTGCGATATAAAAACGGACCATTTATTTCCTCCGGAGAAAATAAAGAGGATCTGTGGAGTCCAGTGCATGTTTTAAAGCAGCCTATGTATCATGCTCAATGCTGGCTGTTCTATTTGTGTTACTTATAATGGACAGAGCTGGTAGCCTGGATAATTATCACAATATAACATGGTAAATGGTAAATGGTTTATATTTATATATAAAGCTTTTCTAATCTTGATGACCACTCAAAGTGCTTTTTTTTTTCTCTTTTGGGCTTTTGTATGTGCTTTCATCTATGTTGTGTTGTGTTTAATCTGGGACCTGAGTCTGAATAATAAGTCACCATCATGAACATCATCTTCAACATTATTATTCATATTAAGGATAGCATACTTTTTAAGTAGATATGAAGCTGGGATAGAGCTTTAAAAGGACATGAAAACTATCTTCTCATGATTAATGTGAAACAAAGTGAATGTTCTCAATTTTCTACTTCAATCTCAGTTTAAATAATTCACTGCATGTTTACTATCATTTAGAAAACTCATTAAAGTATATGCAATAATGATGATCAGTATGTATAAAGAAAGCCCTATTAGTCTGCCTTCTCTAAAATAACTGAGCAAAACATATTGTTTAAGGGCCAGAGACTTAGGGTTAAATAAAAATTATCATAACAACTTCATTTTCAATTTTATGTACAATTTCAAAAGCTTTCCAAACACCTGTGGTCAACGTTCTCCATAAACTGAGATACAACTGACCACCATCTCTATCAGTGCTCTTGCCAGAATCATAATCAATCTGTACTAATTTTGGTCCAGTATTTCTTCTCACCCCTGTGTTTGGTTGTGTAATGGTTGCAAGAAACCACAATTCACTGTTGCAGAAATAGCCTACAACCCAATCCTCTCCTGAACAATCTCTGTAAACGTATCTTACCTGCCAAAGCGAGTGACCAACATGCCCACAATGAGGGAGCCCAGCAGACCTCCAATTGCGAAGACAGATACAGTGAGAGAGTACATGAGGGTCAGGGTCTCACCACTGAGTCCTGTTCCATTACGACTCAGCACTGTTTTGTTGTAGAAGTCCTTTATGTACTGAGGGTTTGAGGGAGAGTAGAAATAAGATGATCAGATGAGGACTATATTAAAGAAAGTGGCAGAATTACAGAAAAAATATGATGTATGAATAAACTAGATTGGCACTCCGTGGAACGCATACATCCACCAAAGGTCCCCTTAACTGGAGAGACACAGTTTAAAGAATGAAAAAATAAAGAAGGAAACTGTGTTCTCTGAAGCTCATAGGCTTAACAGTGTTTTTAGGAAAATGGTCAATTGTCTTCATTTCATGAAAGCTCTTCACAGTACAGTTTTGCCGTTAACCAATTCACACACATGCATAAAGTGCATCCACATGCATTACTTTTTCTATTAAACATCATGCACACTGTGCTGGCAAAGCACTATAAATCACCCGGTTAAAGGCTAGCTAACTTCAGCGGGCTTATAAGCAGCCTCGGAGCTAGCGTTAGCTTAGCGAACCGAGAGCGAGTTGTCTTCCTGTTTAATCAACAAACCGGGTGAATACGCCCAAGCACCAGGACACAGCTGCTTTAAAAAAATACTGTACTGTAAAGCACCTGATAAGTATTCTGTCATGTTGCGCAAAACTAGGAGCTGCAAACTCCGTGTAAACAAACACAGCTGATCGTCAGCTGTCCTGCGGCTGCGTGCCTCGGTGACGTCACGCCAGTGTAAGCCCAGGATGTAAACAAAGCAACTTGGACTCACAGGGGACTAATGCTGGCGATTCCTAGTAAATAAAGAGTTTCGCGGCAGATAATGCGTTATTTAGAGGCTGTATTGTGGATGCCCCAATCCCTTGCATTGCATGGATATACGCCAATCGCGTGTGGATTGAAAAGCGTCCGAAGGACTCCAAGTTACTCCAAACCTTTGTGGGTAAATAGATCTACATACCATATGCTGGAAATAAGGACCAGGTTGAAAAAAACCGAACTTCTCCTTTAATGCCCTTCTGCTGCTATAATTCCACCAGTATGGGAAGTCTATCTTATCTTATCTTACTGTTTCAATACCTACTCTAATTCTGTCATAATTCAAGTTCAATATGCCTTCAATTCACCTCAAGTTGAGATACCTTAAATAAAGTTTGAACTCGTCAGAATAGTGTTGTAGATATCTGAAGTACAGACCATAAACACAATAGATAGGTGGTAGTTCAAAAATGTTAATTGCCCAATTGGTTGGAGCTGGAGGGAGTTGGGGCAGGTAGTGGAGACCAGAAGGAAGGTTGGTGGTGTTCAAAGTGGAGGGAACATTCAGGTGTTCATGCGCACAAAAGCCATTTTTTGCACTGTTTTATAAATGAGTCTACACCTCTTTAAATTGAAAGCGATAAAAGTGTAGGATGACAAATCTTTGTCAAGTTTGAGTGCAAGGCTCTGATGCACTTGGTCCAACTTGGGGGGCGAGTCATGGATCTCTGTACTGAGGGCTGCAAAAAGCAGTTTGGAGAAAAAGGTAGATGAGGACCTTCGCAAGCTCTGATTCATCTTGAAACAAGGTCATTTCCACCGTGTTTTAAGCATAAATGTCCACCAGAAGAGGCTAAGCTAGCATTTCCGACGGTCCCTGAATGCACCTCGTTGGAAAATATCAACAGACATTTAGGCTTTAAAACTTGATGTAAATGACTGCTGCTACACTGTTTACACCTGAAACTCCAAAAGTGTTTCTTGGACTCAAACACTTTACTCACCCCTCCATCGGCATAGGGGTAAATAGATAATGAGTGAAATATCATTTTTTCGGTGAACTATCCCTTTAAAATCTGCTGTGAGAAGCACAAGAGCCACATTTTGTATGTCCAGTAATAAGTAAACGTTGTCCATAGTTAGGCTAAAAGTTGTTGAAGATTCCCTATCTTTTTTATAGCATTTTCTTAATGTATTAGACCTGGCTAGATGAGCTGTGCAATTAGAACTGGCTCATTATAGTATTGTAACCCATTTATGTCCGGATTGACAAGGTTTTTTAGAAGAAAGAAGTGTTTAAGTGAGAGCAGGTGGAACAAGCATCTAGTCAACACATCTCATGCCCCTAAGAAGTACAGATGACAGAATTCTTGATTAGATTCAGAATTCTCCAATCAGAATTCTAAATTTCTGCTAACGTACCATCCTGGTTCAAGTAATGTTAAACTACTGTACATGCACTCTACAGCATACATGTGTTAGATTAATCAAATTGCATAACACCATTCTTCATTTTGATGCTGCAGTCACCTGTGACATAGCGTCCATGGCTAAAGAAGCGCAGCATGAGGATTTTTTTCCTGACAGGTCATTCAAGCACATCCAAGTTTGCCTGTCATCCTGAAGTAAGCCATTGAGGCACATTTAGTGGGCATTCATGTATCCTAATACTTGTGTCTATGTAGCTGCATGTATGGTTTGTACCCTGCCCTGCATCAAATCTTTATAACTTTTTTTAAATTTAGATAAATGGCTGTATTGGACTGCAACTAATGAACAGATACAATTATGACACCACCACTGAGACAAAAATCTAATGTTTCCTTTTGAAATAAAATATATCTGCCAATAAAGTGACCATATAGCTCATTTCAATGAAGGGTAAATATAATCACTGTACAAAAAACCCTGGGGCCATCTAATGTATATCATGCTTCAGTACTTCAAATTCCTTAGCAATTAGGTTTAGGTTAGCGTTATTTTTGCTGATTAAGGTTTGGGTAAGAGGCTAAGGAATGCAAACGTGTGTATGTGTGCTTGCATGCATGTCTTACCACAGCAGGGGAGTTAACCACAGCCAGATTGTAGCCATAAAGCATGGAGCTCCCAAAGGAGGTGAGGAATGCTACGGCCAACAGAGAGCTGGTCAGGTGCTGCAGACATAGGGAGAGAGAAGTCTGCTCAAAAGTGCAGAATACTAAATTCAGCTTTAATCAAGAGACAGTGGGAGAAACATTTCTGGTTCTAACTATACCTAATGAGACAATGATGAAGACTGGTGGCTCACACCAGGTATTTAGTGTGTAAATGTTTCTCCAAAATTAATAGGAAATTATAATGCCACAAATAACATTTAACATTTAGGAGAAAAGAGTAACAGCAGTTCATCAATTTTCTTAAACAAAGAAATACCTCCTTGTGTGCTGATATTTTCTTCCCTGTATTTGAGGAATGCTTCATTCATTAAAATGGCATCAAAAAGTCGCAGAACTTTATGAGGAAATTTACAGTGTGTTTCAATCTCCAAACAGGAATCTGGAATTGAACCAGATTAGTGGATGACATGTTCCTGTGCCTGGTCCTAGATGGAGATTGGACAACGAGGGTGGACCAGGGTGGCCTACCAATAGGAATGAGCAAGTATCTGTATCTGTATCTGTTCAACCAACTAAATTATCCATATCCCTACTTGGAAGGGGCGTGGCTTAAATCGGAAGCAGGAATTCAACCGGAAGTTGGTATTTTAATTGATATGAGTTGATCAGAAGTTGATATATTTATTGTTTATCAGAAAACTATTTACAGATCAGCCTTAGAATTGAGCTTCAGATCAATGTTTTTGATCACAAGAGTAAGATAACTATTCAGAAGTATTTTTATAAACTTCAGTGAATAAATGAACACAAAACGTAGTATTAATTATAGGTATTAAGTAAAATGTAGGTTTTCATACTCAACTCAACGAGTTTTCCACCTAAATTTTYTTTTTTTTTTTTTTTTAAATTACATTTAAACAGTGTGATGTTTGTGTGTGTCACATGGCTCTTTTGGGGGGGGGGCTGTTTTTATTTCTACACAAAGTAAAACACAATGTTTATCATGTGGTGTGGGTGTGTGTGTGAGTGAGTGAGAGAGAGTAGCGCTTACTTTCTCGGCTGGTGGAGAGGAGCGCTCGCTCCGTGTGCGTCTTGCCGGCCTTTGCGCACCGAGGCTCGGCCAGTGCAGCCCCCGCACTCCACCTAGCTCTCACTCACTCACTCGGCTGGTTTAGAGGAGCGTTCGCTCCGTGTGCGTCTAGCCAGCCGTTGTGCACTGCGGCTCGGCCTGTGGAGCACCAGCACTCCGCCAGGCTCTCACTCACTCACTCTGCTGGTGGAGAGGAGCGCTCGCTCCGTGTACGTCTAGCCGGGCTTTGCGCAGCCTGGATCGGCCAGTGGACGCTGCGAATATATGATCATAGATAATGATGTTACACATTAGTGTCCCTGTGGACAGAGTGGCGCTGCTTTCGCTGCAGCAGGTAACTTTTTATAGACACTGTGTAGGGAAGAGCTCTGTGTGTCGCTGGTCAATCAAGGAATGATTTGGACACAGCTATCCAATGAGGATTTTTATTCATCACGAGTACGGACATTTCACAGCTCTGTAGAAACATCCTTCTGCCTATAGCAGCATAAGCACCATAGTAATGCTGCTATAGTTCTACACTGGGAAGCCCCATCCCTTGTACATATAAGAACATCCATTTCTGATTGAAGTAGTTTGTTTGATTATTAATCATAGAATATATCATATCACAATTAGATTTTCTTTATATTAGTCAATTTCATGTCTACTGTAAACAGTTCCCACAGTTCGACTCCAAACAAACAGTAAGTTCAGCCAACATCAAGAAACAGACAGGAAAATGTGCATTATCAGTAAAAATGTAACAGTTTTACTAGGTTATCTTTATCAAAGTAGATTTTATGAATTTTAAGCTTGGCGATTTCCTTCAAATACCTCATAAGGTGTTGTTGGATGTAGCCACTTATACTTTCTCCCAAGTTCAGGGCTACAAGTTTGAAAGTAGTTAATATAGTAGTGAATGAGGATGACGACCCTGACACTGTATCTGACTGGATTCATCCAGTCTCAACTTACCGCTGTGAATTTTCTTGCTGATGGAATTAAAACCTCTTCAGCCATTTAAAAAAATTGTCAGATAGTCCCAAACTGCAGATTTTGCTCTCTCTAAACTGCAGAGAATCTCATTGCTGCAGCAGCAGGCGTTGTCAGACAGGTCAAAGTGCCCTTGAGCAGTGTGTAGGCCAGCAGTCTACAGGCTCCTGATAACAAGCTCACACAGTGTCATCACATGACAGAGAGCAGCGTGATGGACTGAGAGAAAAGCCTGCTGGAAGCAATTAGTTTTAAATGAATTTATAAAGAGGCAGAGGAGAGGACACAAATGGACTGCATTTATACAGCAGCGTTCTGGTTCCGAACAACCACTCCAAGCACTTTACACTACAGGTCACATTCATAGATTTATTAAATATTGCATCCAATTGTCCTAGCTAAAATCTGAAACTGTATTACAATAAGTAAATACCTGTTTGAATTTCATGCAGTGGCAGTTAATTAAGGCAGGGTTTTCTCGTGTTTCCACTTAGTGTACATAATCTCTTAAAGGTTTGTAACAATATAAATTCAGACACAATTAACATTTGTCAAAATAGAGATTAAACGTGGCCCTAAAAAAGTGAGTTATTTAGTCATATTTTGGGGTTGTAATGCTATAAATTACTGCTGTGTATAGATGTGATTTTTTTGAAGCAGTTCTTAGGCGTGCTTCATGACACTGCACGCAGTAGGGTATTGTTTCCACCTATGTGTGTGTCTATTGCTTGGAAGTGTATCTAATGATTAACTTAACTTTTTGAACAGATTGGTTGAGGGTAGGAAAGATAACACCCCTGCAGTATATATTTAGTGATATTTGTCAGTCCCTGTCCCCCTCCATTTACAGCTAGGTTCATAGGTGCTTCTCTTACCAAGATGTGGCTAGACCAGAAGTCCAGGATGTATATCACTCTATATCTATATGTAGAGATATATAATATAGATATATATGATATATATCACGACTCTTCTGGCATCAGAGAAATAGGTCTGAGCCAAAAATTCAACCATGTTATTGACAACCAGAACTCTCCCCTGATGGGATAACTGGGTAGCAACCATTTACAAAATAAGTCATTGCTGTTGATGTGAATTAAAATCCCACTATATTTATGTTTAGCTTTACCCAGCAGCTTCAGTTTGGACTAGATGTCGTCCCCTCTGGCACCTGGCATGCAATTACCGAATGTAACCGGATGGTTGTTTACAGTGCATTTCTTGCATTTTGACTGTGCCCCTCAGTCTGTTTATTTTAGCAGGCATGGTGATCGCGCCAGGTGTGTGGCACGCCCTTTTCCTGTAGTGGAGCCGCGTCATCGGCAGCGGACCTGTATATATACTCCGCTGCGGTTTAGTTGCTCTCTCTCCTCTGCCGAAGCGAGTGCGGGTCGGTGTTCAGTTCCACCGAGCCGTGGTGTACTGGCGTGGTATGTGTCGTGGGTTCGTTCTCCAGGTATGTAGCACAGTCTCATGACGCTGTGAAGTTTTTATAAGATGCCGTGTTGACAGTTCTTTGTTGTAGGTTGGCGTGTTGAGACGAGATGGCGTGTGTGTGTGCCCCTTCCGGTTAGCCGCCGCCGCTACCTTAGCTGTTAACGGCCAGATTATTAATGTGTGCAGGCTGCAGCTAATCACACATATAAACAGTGCCGCAACCATAGCGATAGTTCGTCTGCTCGTGTCTATGTGTTGTACCCTAACAGCCGGCTGTGTGTCTTCCCTGTTAAGCCTAGTTTATGCTTCTGCGTCGTGTCGACGCCGTACCTACGCCGTAGCCTGACGTGCGCCTCCCAAAAATCCTAAAGCTACAAAAAAAAAAAGCGAGTATTCGGCTATAACCACACAAACACACAGCTACACCCCCTAGCGCCATGGCGGTGAATTGCAGAGCAACACGTTCCCTCGATGCAGAACTTCGAGGAAACTTCAACGACTGCGTCACGTCACGCCGTACCTACGCCGTCGACGCGGACCCCTACGCCGTAGCCTGACGCGCGCCTCCAAAAAATCCTAGCTACGCGTCGCGTCGACGCGGACCGCAAGCGCTGTGATTGGTCCGCTCAGAACGTAAGTTCCGGCAGTTGCTTTTCCGGTCTTTCTTCCTTGTCGTAAAAACCACCTCCTCAAACGTCTTCTCTGTCGCCCGTGCTTCAACATTTGCAACATAAGCATTTGTTCTTCAATATTGATGAGCTCCAACAACAAATACAGCTGCTCCACCTCGGTCGCCATTGTTTACTGTTTACGGAAGAAAAAGTGAGGATTCGGCTATAACCACACAAACACACAGCTACACTTTACTTCCGGAGCTTGCCTCTTTACTCTTTACTTCCGGAGCTTGCCTCTAGGTTGTTTATTTCTTGGTGCCTCGCTCATTTATGCTTATAGACGCACTGCCCGCACTGTTTAGACGCTCTGCCTTCATGGTTTAGACGCCGTTTTAATATTTAAGTACTATAGTTCAAGACTAACCTCAATCAGACCGTGACTATTTGGTGGAAGTTAATACAGCATAGTGATGGACCTGTCGAACTGATGCATGTTGCATGTTTTCTTTCTTTATGATTTGAGTTTGCAGTTGTTTTGTATATAGATATTTTGCTTGGTTTCTGTCTTTTCCTTTTGTTTGATTATTTTGGAGCAGTGACCTCCCGTCAACTTTATCAGTTACCACACCTCTGTGTCATGAGTAAAGGCTCACTATTGGATTGTGGAAAGCAAGAACTATGGAACTAGTTTTAAAAAGAAACTTAAATTAATAAAGATATTGTAGACTATTGTGAATAATAAAACTTGTTAAATGACTCTACATCGTGCCTGTATTCATTTGTGTATTTACCTGGACATGGGTGGTTTTTGGGAAACCCTCTCAGAGAAAGTAAAGTGAAATTTGATTCTTTAGGTGCAAGTCCTAAGGTGGCGTTGTTGGTATTCAATTCTCTAGATCTGCCACTTGCAGTTCAACTGATATTGCCACACTATGGTCGCTGGTGTCCCTAACCTTACGTTTCTTAATCCTGAGTCTCCAATGACAAGAGTTTCGCTGCTCAACTGCTTAACATTAGACACTCAGAGCAGGAGAGAGCAGCGGAGTAGCCAATATATTAGCCTGCTTGCCTACGAGTGTGAACTCAAAAAAAAAGTCCTGTGAAACACAGATTGAAAGAGAGTAGGGAGTGAAAATGTGAATGTTTAACTTTAGATTGGAGATTAACTGTAGTAATATGGAAAATATCAGAGTTAGCAGAGGGGGACAATCACCATCGGCAGGAAAACAGGAAATTTTGCAATACGCTTACCATAGCATGTCAGCACGTTCAAAATTACAAATGCTCATCATGTCAGATCTTAGATTGATTGCCACATTTTTTTTTCACAATTTGAGAAATAAATTTGTCCTGCAGCTGATAAAAGTTAGCAATAACATTAGCTAGGCGCAACTTGAAGAAAGACTAGCAGGGCAGTTTTTGTTCTAGTTAAGAATTTCATAGTAAGTAGTAGAGCCTCCGAGTGTGTTTTCATTTGGTCTTTTTGAACCGAGTTTTGTTTTCCTCCTTAGGGAGTGTTTTGAGTGTGTAGTTCTTAGCCCTTATTTTGTTTTCCTCCAAGTGGAGTGATTTTCTGTTTCATACATTTCTCTTTGTTTTTCTGTTTTGTTTTTCCCTGTGTCACGGAGTGGGTTTGTGTTTATTGAAAGAATTATCTTACTGCCTAATTTTGGATAATTCTTCATTTTGATCTGATAGCTTTGTTTTATAGCCTGTTATTTTGGATCACTCTGTCTTAGGGGTCAAAGAGGGTTCACAATAAAGCTTGAATTAACAGTCAAACCTCTGCATCTGAGTCCTCCTTCTAGTCCAGGCCTGACAGATTATTTCTTATGTTTGGATTTGTGTTAAGTTTTGCTCCCTGTGTCCCCCTCCTGTGTCCCCCTCTGTGCTCCTCTCAGTGTTCATCTCAGTGTTCATCTCTGTTTCCTGTTTTTTTTTTGTAGTCTCTGCTCTTTGTGTGTTTTCCCCCTGGACTTCCTGCCCTTGTCAGTTTCATCTGTTTGTCCTGTGCCACCTGTCCAGTTTGTCATTAGTTCAGTGTGTATTTAAGTCTTTGTGCTTCCCATGGTCTTTGTCAGTTCGTTGTTGTACTATGGCGTACCATGTCTTCCCATATGTTGTTTCAACACTCGTCATTGTTTCCAGTAAGTTCTCTAGTTCCCCTGTTTCTAAGAGCTATTTTGAGTTCACTGTTTTTATTTTTGATTTTGTTATTATCTCCTGCCATGATTAGGATACCTGGATAAGATTGGATGGTCCAACTAGCCACTTGGCGTGCATTATGCCAATGACCCCTGTGTTGAAGTAGAAATTCAGCAGAAGTATTAGAAACAGGCATAGCCTTCTGTTCTTAAATTAGGCCAGGTATCATTTCTTTGGTAGCAAGGACAGACAATCAATCCCTGGTGCCAGTCCAGATGCCATCTGGTTACAGTTTTTCTGAATTGCTAAAACACTAATTCCTTTTGTGTGAATCAATTGCTCAGTTGTCTAAACTCATTCACTGAATTGAGCATCATTTTGACAAAACCATAAACTATCTTCACCCAGTAAAACACTATTTGTAGGTCTCAGTCCTTCCTTTTGCAAAACTCTAAACACATTCTCATGCAATAAAACACAGTCGTCACTGTGATGCACTTGTGACGCATAATGGTAAAAACCAGTGGCAAAATATGAACACAAATGAAACACATGAATCATCCATTGAACACAACGATTCAAAATTGATCACACTTGTTTCTCATCATGTCATGACAACATGACAACCAATATAAGCCAGTTCAGAGTGCAAGCAGGTTGGTCCTGCAAGCTCATGACAACAATGGATCAGAGACACAGAGGACAAGTGCGTGTAAGAGGAGGAAGATAAGGAGTGGCAATTTTTTATTTTTATTTTTTTGGTTCAATCTTTTTTTATTGAGGTTCAGCAGTCCACATATTGTCCTTTACATATAGTTCCTGCAGAACCAT